TTGATTTGATGATATGAAATGTCTTAAATGTAGCACTATAAATCATACTATCCTGAACTTGTTTTATTGAACCGAATAATAGACAAGAACTGGATGTCATTTATACAAAATACATTCTCCACAAATAATACTCATATTGTAATGAATGAAAGCACAGGTGAGGACGACCAAATGTATTTTAGCACAAAATTATAGAGTTTTTTGCTAAAATGTAAAAACCATACGTTCAATCCTTCATTTGTAAAATGTCCATTAATTGTCTCAGAGTTTACTGTTCGTTCATTCCTATTACCCTTTGTTCCTATTCTCTTTTATTAGATTTTTTCAAACTTCTGCTGCAAGATTTTCCACTTTTAACTGGTGTTACATACTACTTATATTTATCGAAAGAAGTAATATAAACCACAATATTTTTGTATTATTATTACAATTCACCATGACGTTTAGTATTAGTTTTACAAATCATTTATTAGCTTGAGTGAAAATTTAATTCATCCATAGAGGTTAGGATAGTTATAATCCATTTACCATTAAAACATTAAATATTATAAGCCTTATCTGTTCATTTATATTTTAACAATCAACTACTCAGTTTATAACTTTACTACTATTTTTTTTCATAATAAAAGGAAAACATCCACTGAACAGTAGTAGTATCCTTTTCAATGATAATTCGGAATTTTTATTAGAAATTATCTTGCTGCATAGATGAGCTTTATGCTATTTATCAAAATCTTTAGGAGAAAAAAAGATGATTAAAGAAAATAGGGAAATGACATAGATAAAATGTATATACAACTAGCTAGGAATTTATCACGAATATAACCCATAAATTAGACTTCTATGTAAGTGTATATACATATATATATATATATATATATATATATATATATATATATATATATATATATATATATATATATATATATATATATATATATATATATATATATACTCATTCTAAATCTAGAACTGTAAATCACCAATAATGTATATACTTGCGAATATTTCTCCAAGCCAAGAAACCAAATCAAATTGTCAATGATTTATGTTGTCGGAATTTATTTGTTTTTTCTTTCAAAAATTTTGTTCCAGTATTTGATGTTTTGATATGAGAAGTGCCCCTGAAAAGTCCTTAACAAATTACACTATATTCAATAACACCTTATTCATATTTAAACATTCCTAGTTTATGGTCATAATTTATGTATATTGAATTTTTATTTGTATATTACTATACTACTATACTATACTACTAATTTCAACTATTCTTACTTTGATAAGGTTTAGTCGAAAAAAAAACTGAAAGAAAAGTGAAAAATTATAAACTTTATCATTTATCATTTTAAATAACACGCACAAATGTAATTGTTTACATAGAAACAAACGAATGTTTTAAGGAATAAAATAAAATAAAAGGAGAAACTAAATAAGCTTCAATGTTAAAAGCTGCACTTTCTAGTTTGTATATTGTATATAGAAATTTTATTTAACCTGATATTCGATAACAATGAAACTTATATGTAAAGTTAGAAGACAAAATAGAATAATGTAAATTTATAGGAATATGGTTCATTTTTGTGAATGTACTTAAACTGTTTACCTAATAAATGGAAGAATCAACAACAATGATAGATCACTGAATATCAGATTATGTTCACTTAAGTTTTTGATTATTCGTTATCTGATATTACGTATTATAGCTCTTGAATAAATTTACAAATTTACATTTGTTGTTTAATTGATAATATTCAATGGCATGCTCATCTAGTCATTTACATTTATAACAAATCCCGTCTATCATGTTGTAATGTGAGTAATAGTGAGTAAGTGACTAGAAATCTCGTGCATTATGTTTTGGTGTAAGGCGAATGGAGATAATCAGTAAAAAATTCTTACAATCTTGAGAAAGACAGTAATTGATGAAGGTTTTGAACCTGTGTCATCTAACTTCAAAGTCTGATATGTTACTACTGAGTCATATGGACTACAATTGACCACATGTAGGACTGAGATACTTACAAGTTTTTTAATCAATGACTTGTGATTGTCATGTTTATTTAGTCCTTAATTCTAGTCAAACCCAGTAGTTTCGTTTGCTGGCTATCACTTCGTTATTGATTTTTAATATACTTCAATTATTTTCGTCTTTTATGAAATCAATCTTAACATTTTGGCAATAAATATTTTCGACTACTCAAGTTTCCCAGTTGAGATACAGTTTCTTTTTCAAAAAAGAAACTTGACAAAGGAATTATATTTGCATAGGAAATTCAGAGAGAAAGTCAATGAACATATGACTTAGTTTAAAACATATTATTATTCAGTTTATTCATGAAGATATGAAATCTAAAACTTATGCAAAATTACTAACACTATTCATGTATAACCTTATTCATAACACAGGGAACGCAAACTTGATAATGATAATATTAACACCAATAATTACTTATTTGGAAGTAACAAAAAGTAGTCGATCGTACTATTTATAACAAAGTATACGAAGAGGTAAGTTAAACGTCAGCTTATCTAACCTTTGGTGCTGATCGAGTTCTAAGAGGGCTTCTAGTATAGGTGAGTTAATGTGGTATACTATAGTATACAGTTCTAATATCAGAGAATGAGGAACTTTATACAATTTGAAAATAAATGTGATTTAACTCATTTAATAATTCCAAGTTTAAGAAATAAACTTTGAACGATAATATTTGTTCAAAATAAAGAATACTAACTGTCTTATATAGAGTTGATCATGCAGCGTTACAAATAGCAATCTGTTAATTTTACCACTGCCCTACACTTTAAGTTTTGAAAATGATGATGAATATCTGCCCTAAACAAAGCTGACAATCTAGAAATATGGTCATATCTTATGGAAATCTGATAAGCAATAAATAAATGAGTAATAATTAACAGACAATAATCAACATGTGTGTCCAGTTAAAAAGAAAATGACAGAACCCTAGTATTAATGTAACCAGACCTATCCAGAATCGTTCAAAGCAAAACGTGGTAGATCACCACTGTAAAGATAAGCATCATCTTCCTGTTGCAACTAGAATAATATTTTATGGACTTCATTGATGAATCAGACCAATATGTCTACCTTACTTTGCCACTCCATAATATCTCTTTGTAAAAAACAATTCATTATCATTACATAAAAATCGGTTATTTAATTTAATTACAACACATGATGTTGAAACGTAGATCTAGTATTTTCAATGAGACTTCATTAAAATAATAAAGGTTGCTTTGTGGGAATATTTTAAAAAACTTGTAGTCCCTTTTATTATCTGCTGTTTGATGAGAAATTGCCACAACATTATTCTGATTAGTTCCAAGGATGAATTTCACTAAGTTCTAGTAGAAAATAATGACTAATGTATAACACTAACTTCTCAATTGTATCAGATAATGTTCACACTATATTATGATAATACTGAAGCATATTGAGTGGACCACTTGTTCCAACTGAATAATATCGATGTTTTAAGTCCTTTCTTGTATGACATTACATGTATCACTTTCTATAATGAAGCATTTATACAGTACTTACTGGTTTTTATCTATACTTTAACTGATCAAATTTTCTTTTAAATGATCAATAAACCTTTGAATATAAACAAATCCTACTAGATGTTCAATGAAGCATGCAAATATAGATATATGCACGTTTTTTTCCTTCTCCTCCTCATACTGTTTGCAACCTAACTCTGTTCATTTCTAAATTATTCAACATTTACAATAGACATATGCTTTTATTTAACTCTTTTCAGGACGATAGAGTTAGGACTTCATTTGTTTAATTGAATAAGAAACAAACAAACAAGCGAACAAACGCATTTTGATTATTAATTAGATACCAGACTATTAATTTTTTATTCACTACAAAATGATACTGTTTGTTCATTTGAATAAAAATTCTAAATTAGATCCTGGTTTAATAAATCAATTTTTGATTGAGAACAAGAGGGAGGGTGGGAAGTGTTCTTTTTTTTGGTGTTGATTTGATAAGTTCTATCATTAATTTTTCCTGACAATAAAATTAACTGGATGTTTCTTGTATTGTATTACTCAAATATATTTAAGATTAGCAATAACACGTATTTCTTCATTATTATAATAGAGATGATTAGTTTGAAATAAATATCAAGTGTTTGCTTTAATTGAATGACACAATAACTGAAATGTATCATTCATAGTATCCTTAATTTCTCCATACTTTCATCAAGATGTATTTCAGTTAAGTTAATTGAAATCTTACTGTATTTTCATCGATAATTGAAACTGTTGTGTTCACAGTTAACGTAGTGATAAATATACTTGAAAACACATTATATTGAATATATGATTATATAAGAAATCTGTTTCATATCAGGCTGATACTCTTCAGTAATGCGTACCTCCCAACCTATATGGGATACAAGAACACAAAGTTGAGTACAATTCCTGTAAATCTCTCTCTCTCTCTCTCTCTCTCTCTCTCTATATATATATATATATATATATATATATATATATATACATCATTCACCACTTATTTAAGAAAAAAAATAAAAGATAAATCTTGTATTGAAGATAGCATATGACTTATTATAATAAGTTGAGAGTAAACGACTACTAAGTAATAAGTAACGTCATGTTTTTCTAAGTCCTCTGTGCTCATCGAATTTTATAGATCACGTGAACCCGAGTTTTGTTCATGTTAGCATTCAGCTCTATCTATAACGCTAGACGATGCAAATTTGAAATACATCACGCCCATCGATTTAACCTAAGATTCATTATAGGGCTTGCTGACAAATACGTAACAGTATTTAAGATATCTCTAAATAACATGGTGATTTAATAGTGTTTCAATCGGATAAACAATTACTTCCCTTGCAAACATTGTCACATTGAGAACCACCATAAAATTTAAAGTTCATAAAAGTTTTATATAATGAATGCAAATGAACATTTAATACTGTGTATATTTTCATTACGAAAATTTACAGTTGCGTATTGGTGGCTCCAAGAAATTCGCTGATGATGCTGGTGTAATTAAACGTTTGGAATTTCCAGCTCGTAGTGTCAGTGTAACATATGCTGCATTACATTCTGGTTATACGTATACAGTTAGTGATCTGGAGCCGAATAGTGTTTATGACGTACAATTAAGTGCATATTATGATTTAACATTGAATATGCAAAGCAATTGGGAAACAACAAGTTGCTTTACTCAAATGCAACGTAAGTTTGAATTTTTGAAAGCAAATGAAAATATCCGTGAACAAGTGAAATTTTCGATTGACTATAACTTGTATAGGCAGTTTTTTTTACTTCGCCTTATGCTATAACGGTTGGGTTTCCACTTTTACACGTATGGGACGTTAACTTATCTTAGACGAATATCTACACTAGATTCCCTCCAAGTGTCTATTCTACAGGACGTCAACAAAACACAGATCAAGAACACGTTATTAACTTGACCACAACGTAAATATATTTCCACACCAAAACCCGACACAATTCAACAAGAATGAACAACCAATAATAAGTGAGTAATAATAATAATAAGGTAAGGGAATATATAACTCATCTGACAGCTGTCAGACTATCTACATGTCTGACTAAGCAGACAACCAATCATGATCATTCTTGCCCACACATCAGTTTCCTATCAGGAAATTCAACAAAGTCAAGGGATTCACGATGATGTAGAGACTAAAGAAAAGGTTGATGAAAAGCTGAAACAAAATGGACAACATAAACTTCACAAGTATGTAAATTGACCAAGCTTCCCTTCAAGTCTAAACATTAAGATTTTCTAAGACGATGTTCGTCGCAGACTAATACTAACAGAAGAAATACTAAAATACAAGGACCGCTTGATAATTTTACTTCTATGTATGAGGGTTCTAAGCGAACACATCTATGACCTCTACACGGATTCGATTTAAGATCTAAAAGTTTCCGATTTCTTCTAGACTAGTGAATTACAAACTTCTGGTTCACATTTCTAACTTCTATTGAGTTATAATTCGCAATCAATCCATCTCACCTGCACGCATGTACCACATTACTGATATAAGTGACCTCCACCCATTGTTTCTCAGTAGAAATTCAAACCTGTTTTGAAGGGAATCGCTGAAGATTACAACATACTTTTTTAATTTTATATTATAATGATCACATGTTATTTTTCATTTTCTTTCAATGAATATGAAGCTGAGTTCACGCAAGACCTTTTATTTTTCATATACCCTGTCGTAAATTATCTGATAATTGTTTTTGATTTACAGGTCCACCATTTGTACCAACACCAATACCAGTTGCTGTATCACCAAGTCGATTACAAGTTTTACTTCAATTAAGTCGTGTTAGTGAACAATATGGAAAAATACGACAATATTTCCTAGTTGTTGCTCCTGTTCACTTAGCTGATAGTTCAACAGAAAAGATAAGTATAGACACAGTAAGTAAAAATACTGTTTTATATTGTTTTCCTTTCTTACGTTTAGTTTATTGTTAACTTGGTGAAAAGTAGCATGATACTTAGTTTTGGGTATATAGATTTCGTATACTGGAAAAAAGCAGTGAATAGATTTGGTTAACACAGATTATAATATATCTATGATTAATAGGGTTTTTATTTGTTTAAAACCGGATTATCTATTACATGCTACTTAAGCAAAACGTCCCAAAATAGGACTAAATTATTCAGCTGTAATGAAAGTATCTTTTATTCAGTCTGTGTCCACCCATATATATATATATATATATATATATATATATATATATATATATATAAAGGTGGTTTCTTAGGTGCTTCAAAACGTCACGCCCTTTGCAGTAACTTAATGTTTATTTATATTTATTCATTAATGAATGAATTTAGCTGAAATTCCCATTCTTTTAAATAGTTTCATATAAATATCAAATAAGTAGTTTCTATTTTACTAATGCAAACCTTCTCTGTATTTCGTAAAATCCTAAATTTCATTGTAGAAAATAGATTATAGTCCATGATGCCTTCACTGTTGAACAAGTATTCAGTTGAGATGGTGTTTCAACAGTGAGTGTAAAACAACCTAGCGCAGTTATTTAATATTAAACTATGAAAGGTTTAATAAATTAGTAAATGAGTAGTCGCAATACTTTATGATCGATAGTGTTGATGGGATTCCATCAACTAGGATCACTGCCTTTTCAGCGTACTGTTCTTAGTATTTAGATAGGAGTATATAATCAATACAAGTTTGGAGGCTCAGATTTCGAGCTTATTGATAACATTGTTTAATATTTGATGCACATTAAATACGTATTATCTGAAGTAACTAGTAAAAAATGTTAAAGCTGATCTATTGAAAAACTCATTAACTACACTCCTGAAATTATCTAACGTTGATGTATAGGAAGTACAATGTGCATAGTAGTATGCTTAAATGTTTGGGTCACCTATTTTTCAACTGTGTAAAAATTCCAGCGAAACTAAATGTTCCAGATCTTTTTTTAACTGAACAATGATGATTATTATCTGAACGTGCTTGTGCTCAATTACAAAAAAACTATAAATTACTGAGATACTTAATGCTAGAACACTTAGACAAAAACAGTGCATTTTAAGCAAAGATACATGGTGGATAACAGTGGAATCTAGGATGTTCATTTCGTTCTATTTGAGACTCATCAATTAGATATACCTACATCATTCCGTGACTCTAGAATGCAAGTACATCCAGCTGACGAGTCTGAAATAGGACAGAATGCATGTCCTGGCTTCCTCCACTATAAACCATTCATCTATGCTTATAATGTCATAACAATACCTCTCCAAATAATAACAGATTTCTAACTCCTTTTATTATACTTCAATGAACGAATTTCATATTTATGTTAATGTGTTTATAAGGAAAAAAAATAAACTTGGAATAAGATATATGTATATTTTGTGAAATTATTGAAAATTGAAAGATGTTTTTTCACTGGAATTGAATCTATGTGACTCAGCATTTTGGTAAGCTAACGAATTTACTTGTTATTTCGTCAACAACAAAATAAAAGAACACAAGAACAACAATGAGTCAGACTGCTGTTTAAATGGAATATGAAAATTTATCATTAACAAAAACGAAAAATATACATTCAACAAAATCTGAGTTGTGCACTGTTGTTATTCTGAATAGATAAAACAATCTTAATCTATTTCACAATACAATCTCATCTGTAGTGACTTTGCTTCGTTAATCGATCACCTCGATAACCGTTATCATATAAATTCTCAACGGTGTTTAAAATAAGAAGGCAGCGAGAAGTGGCAACTACAGTTTATTAGAGGACTGCGCAAATCACAAAGCTGGTGGGACTATAATTTATGGACGGCCTTTTAGCGACGCCAGACTGACCTTGAAATTGTCCGCCTAATAACCAGAATCAAATGAGGGTTATAAACCTGTGTGAGGAATTGGTATTATGATTTACAGTTGATGATTAAGGTTAGAAACTAGATTTAGAGTTCTCATCACGAAATGACATCAGTTATAATGCCAAAACTCTATTTGTCTCAATAAATGACTGAATTTTGCGCCAAAACCTGAGACTTGTTATCTTATACCTGATTGGTTCGTTCATAAATCATAGTCTCGCCCACAAATCTATAGGCACACCGAGTATATTTGAAGCGGAGAGGCGAATAAGTACATACGAGCAATTACACAGGCAAATTTATAACCAAATTGCAAAAGGGCGCAGCAAGGCAAATCAAGGACTAATCATAGAATCTGAATACATACATACATGAGGAGGAGGTTGAATCATCGAATGATATTTAAGCAATCAACATTTTAGCTAGAGTCTGTCGTGTGATGTAGTGATCATAACAGCACAAAGAAATATGAGAATTGTAACTACTCGAATAACATTGTCTGTCAAGTAAGTTATTAAAAGTGCTTAACAAAAATGAGCCATAATCGAAATTGGTTGTAGGATAATTGCTATACTTCCATCAAAAGTTTTTTATATAACGAATTTTACGTGTCTATGTTCGCTAATATCTTAGCCAAAATTCCAATTTTCTCAAATACTCAAGGTATAATAAGTAAGTACTAATATGAATAAATGAGATAACTTTACAGTGATCGATCTTGTTCAAATCCTTTCTGTGATATGTCCATAATCTCATAATATGAGAAGAACCACCTTATTTAGAGAGTGATATGCTTACTATTGAAATTAGAGGTCATAATATCTCTTGACATGTAACAACTCATTTCAGCGCTGAGAATATTTGTTGCATATATCACATGTTTTCACCTAGACGGTACTACACAAAGACATATAATTCATAAGAATTTTATTGATTTTATTGTTTGGTAATCGATAAAGTATGTCAGTAAAATCATGCTTCGATATAACTTATATCATTATGCCTGTTTATCATTGTTGCACTGTAAAGGGAAATATTAGATCTATCTTCGTTACCGAACAATCTAGGTTATTTCTACAAGAGATACTTAGGATAACCATAAAGATGTAATCAGATGGTAGGTCAATCATGTAGCTCCTGTTCAAGCAATACATAATATGAAACAATTTACAAAGTATCAAATGCTTAATATCAATCTTAGTGTTAAAAGATATTCGAGTTCACTAAGAAAATCATCAGCTTTATATTTCAGTAATTTTTAATAAAGTAGCAGTTCGCATTGAATGATTACGTGTTCGATGGCGTTTATATAAAATATACATCAAAACCTTTTATTTCCCTAAATAATTATTCACTCTTATTGAAAGTATGAAATATATTATACTCCATTACTTTCTTGATTGGTTCATTTCTTTGAAAAATTCTAGTGTCAAGCTTACAGAAAACTATTTTGAGTTAAGTCCACTTTTACTTTTTCCATTTATTATAATAATATGACAAAATTTACTACTAGCATGTTAAATTAAGTAGTTTACTAGAAAATTTAAAAAGCTAGCAATTGTAATCACTTGAAATCATGCCGGAACAAATTAAGGTATATTGAAAGTTATCATGATAAATAACAGATTGTCGTAAGTTTTTCGTTTATAAAATACGCAAATTCAGTTTACAATTACTGAAATTATAATCTTACAAACAAGTGCGTTTTGTATGTAACCGTATGACATTGTCCTGATTACCTAGAAAACACCATTCAAATTCTTATTAAATTTACGTTTCACTTTAACTTTGCTAATGAATGAAGAAATATTACTCTCGATAGTCCGGATATATTCAATCGTTGTTTATTATGAATTAAACGAACGTTCAGTTTAATTTATTGAATATTTCTTTCTAATTTTTAACGTATTTGAATGAGAATCGTATACAAAAACTTTTACAATGTGTCTTGAATTAAGCGGTATTTTAAATAAGATTCTTTACGGTATAAGCTGAGCAAAACAAGGACACAATCCATATTAAAACAAAACACTCCTCTTATGTGGTTGTTCATTATCATGAATAAATAATTCAACATACGGCTACTGAGTTGTACTTTATAAAGTGTACTCACTGTGGGTTGAGCTCATTTGAGATACTATTGAAAACTGAAAAACACTAAGCAACTAATTAGTTTTGTAGGAAATTCCTCACCAGTGCACTGTATCACAAACTGATTGAATACACATTTGTGCATACTCTGAGTAGCCTGATAGTCCTAGATCCAATCCCTCTACGGAAAGTGGATATAAATTTCTAAGAATTGTCATATTAGGAATAAGAAGCTTTCTATTGCCTTCATACTTTTAATAGTGCCTCAGCTATAATCAATATGTGTTGAGTACAGCCTATAAATCAAACCGAAATCCATAAAATTCATCCAACTGTAGTGTGTTGTTTTTTTGAACCATATTCCAAATGAATCTTGTTAGAATTTGAGTTGCATTGATGGATTATAAATCTGTAACTCACTTCAGAGTTTGCTTTAAACCATTAGAATATTAAAATACCTGAATACAAATGCAACAACATTAAACAATCACAGCAAACAAAGTTAACATTTAAATTATTTATAATTTATAAGACATTTCGAGGATAATTTAAAGGTTTCATCTACCACAATATAAGTTTTATAAGCTGATATAGAAAGATTTCTTTCAAACATTTTACAGATTTAAAAAAGGGTTTATGAAGATTAATCGTTGTGTATTTCATTTTCTTATAAACACGTTTTATTTGAATGTTGGTATTGTGTTTGTATGTACATTCATAGCCATTCATATTATATTCTCTGATAATTTCATATGTCAATTACTCTCTATTATTTACTTACAAATGTTTACATATATGGTTACATACAGTTACTTGGGTATACATATTTTTCATGTCCATGTGGGCATGCAGATCTATTCTTATTCCTACTAGAACTAATTTACTGACAACTTAGTTTAATTGTTAACTTTACTGCTAAAAATTAGGTAAGGGTTATGATTAGTTAACAAATTCATTTAAAACCTTGTTCATTTAAAATTCAGTTTAGGTATTATTCACTCATCAATCATATCGGTCGGTAGAATAAGTATTGTTTTCCAATCTGAAAAGTAAATTAATCAGCTGAGAAACAGTAGTAATTACAGTCGTAATAGCAGTAATACTATTAGACTAATGAACGAAAACACAGGTGAGAACGATTTAATGTATATAATACAAAATTATAGAAGATCGTGATAAAATATGAGGATCAGACATGATATACTTCATTTGCAAATTTCCGTCATTTGTCTTACAAATCCTATATGATTCTTCCGATTCACAATTCCTTTCTTATTCCGTTTCTTTTTTCTTCAAGTCAACCCTCATAGCCCTCTGTTGTTAGGTTTGCCACTTCCGATTAGTGTTACATCCAACTTATATCTATCGACACAAGTATCACACATCACATTCGCCCCCCCCCGTTAAATCATATGCTACCATCAATACCATACATTAGTATTTTCTCTATTTTTTCTCTAATAGTATACGCGTGACTAGGGGAAAATATTTAAGTCAACGTTCACCTTCTTTGCTGTTCTTAAAAATTATATATTTACATAGATGTATAGAAACTTGTTGTTTCTACATCTTTCCACTGGAAAATTTAACACAGTTTGATATGTACACACAATTAGAATGACAATATTGTAACAATGTTAACCGAGACAGTTTTTTTTGTGTGTAATAACCATTAGAATATGTTTAATATTACAGAAATTTACTATTAAACAAAGGAGAGAGAGTGAAAGATAAAAGTTGAATTTTGTCGAAATCAAAAAACAAAAAACAAAACAAATAAACATTTAAATATATACACTGGGAACAATTAAGAGTTTTTAAAAAAAAATATTGGAAAAACCCACTTTTCTAAAAAAAAGTGTGCTTTGTCTAACCCTGTCCTCTTTGGGTTTGTAAAAAAGGTTGTCATTTGTACACTATTCAATAAAGTATACATTATTGAAATGATTATATGCGAGAAAATTGACACATACTGATAAATTCAGTATAACAAACTAGTTCACAATAATAATAATAATAATAATAATAATAGGATGCCCTGCTAGGCTCTAGACAAAATTGTGATGTTTTCATTCATTGTTGACCATTTATTTTTTTTTCTGAAAAGTTTTACAATTAGCCGACATAGAATGAAATTATTTATTCATATGTATTCATATGCAAATAGTTTTTATTCATTCATTATGTAAGTTTAATAGACACAATTACAAAATTAAGAAGAAAAAAAACTAGTCAGAATTTTGTCGAATTAAATCTTGTCAAAAACATTTTGAAAAAAATAATAACCCCATTTATTTCTATTCATTTTGTTGTTGTTGCCAGGGTAATGAAATCCTATGCAGCGTATAGTTTCATTTGCTCACTCATTTAAAAAAAAATTATTGATAAATGTTATATTGAAAACAAACAAAATTAGTACAATCGTTTGAAGTGATCAGTTCAATGATATTAATTTTATATTTCAAAAAGTGTCTTTCGATGATACGATGGATTATAAGTACCGAGAGAAAATGATAATGTAACCAATTAATTTCATAGTTGAGCTAATAAACATGTTTAGTATAATTAGGGCAAAGTAAAAGAAATATTTTCCTTATGCTTTCAGATATATCTAGACCTCTGTAGAATATTAAAAGTAACCACATCTAATTAAAATGAAAAGTTAGCCAAATTTAACACTACCTACACCGTATTTCCTGGATCTTCATCAGTTATAAGAATCCGATAGAAACTTTGGACGTGAAGTAGGATTGTATATATGTTTGATCTTGAATCATTATATACTAATTATTATGAATATCAAAAGTATTTTCCTATCTACATATTGAAGCGCTTATCTCAATAACAAAATCGAATCATAATAAAATTGAACTGAATGGAAATAACTACTACGAAGAATGTAAAACAGTCTGAAAAAAGAGATTACTTGACCAATCAGATGGAATATGTACTCCTCATTGCAAAGGACTAATACAAACCAGGTGGTTCAGTTTAATTAAGTAGAATGATCAAGTAAACATTTATTTAGAAGCAAAATGTGATTATGATTTAATTAAGATTATTAGCATATTCACAAGTTCACAACCGACGATGAACAGAATGATTCATTATATATGATTAGATGTCTTGAGAGAAGGTCCTGCAATCCATGTACCTCGATGGAGACCTATCACTGAATACGCTAACAAAGTTCTCTGTTTAGATGAAGCAGATTTTGAATTCCTTCCGTTTTTCAACGATTATAACATCTAATCTAAACCATGTACTATTTCATGTATTTGACATCAAGTTGCATTCTTTTTGTGTAAGGTTTTGATACTAACATGGTGAATAAATTGAAGTAGATAAAGTAAAGCTTAGGGCTCGTAACTATTGATTGGTGATGCTGATTTGTAAATAAAGTAAACAATGAATAATTTTTTCTCATACTTTTTCCTTTTGATCAAGTTAATTTAGATCATTACTATGACTAACCTGGAATTAATTCTATTGAACTTTGTAATTCATGTTCCATTACATAAGATACAGTGAACCAGAGGTTTTAATTTCCATATTTAATTTACCATTCAGTTTAACAGATTCAATGTAATACTGATTAACTTGATAGAAATAAATATTGTATTTGGCATAACGTTGTATGTAATTCTGATAAAGCTGTTTCCAATGATGAACAATAATGATTGCTATTTTTTCCAAACCTGAAAAATCAAAGCACAACATTTACATTAGTACTATTTACACATTTGTATTCACTACTCTAATTATTAATCTAAATATGCCACTGACGAAAATGACTCATTAAAGGTAATTGATCGATATACTACTTTGGATTTTTTTTCACGATTTCATAGACAATTACAGCATCTAGAGGTCTTCCAAGTTCAGAAACACGTTATGTTGCAGCTCGTTACCTGCAAGATTATTTTGATCCCCCGCCAAGACATTCTAGAAACTTTACACTTGGTAGTTATAATGTAAAAACAAATCGACCTCAAAGACATGTTAACTCAAGTCGAATTCGACGTCAGACTATGACAACGGATGATGAATTTCTACATGAACAAGACTCAGAAATTATGTTTGACAATAAAGCTTTAGTTCTTGGACAAGAATACAAAGTATGTTTCGAAAATTTAATATGATTCTACTTTTTCTAGAATGACTATTATAACACTCCTTGATTATTGACTTTTGCTTAAATGTATATTAGGGATTACCGTTTCTATGATTTAACATTTCCTCATTGCTGATATTGAGACTTTCATCAGTTTTTACTAGTACACAGGAGCATTAAGTGAATACCTCAGTATAATTTTTAGCCGAAATTTAGTAGTAGAATTTAGAACGTTTGTTTTGGCTTTCTATGGACTTGTCGACCAGTTGAACTTGTGTTCTAGTGTTGATATTGAAGTCAGCAACCAAACACATTACATTTTGATTCACACTCACATTAAATTACTAATAGCATAACTCTTTGATGTATGCTCAAAGATGTCAAAAACATTTATTTCAACTAACCAATTATTTATCCCAGACGTAACTTGAAGACAGTAAAATAGATTTTAATTTTCATTGATTACTGTCTTAAGCGAGTGCTTTGAATTATCCCTGGCTTTAAAATATAAAGAATGCTTTCGTACAACGAATATACACTTGGTTTTCAGATGTCGTGATATATATAGTATCTTCCTCTATAAAGAATGAATAATGAAATCTTGAATTGGGCTATTTATTCCATGTTTTGAAGTGTAGATGAAATGTTCCTTTGATGGTTTGTTTTCATTTCTTCTGTATTCATTAATAACTGGTTAGATAATATTTGCATTTTAATACTTGGATTTTATGTTAACCTTCAGTGTTCCATAGTGCTAAGTGTTAGGTATTTGCTACCTATGTATAACAAATTCTCAATATATGAATATTAGGTGGTTGAAATCAATCTATAAAAAACTCCATACGTATGTTTTGCACTAGCTAGTACTTACCAACAGGGCACGCCAACAACTTCTAAAAACATTTGGTCACTGTTCAATTCAAAGTTGTTACCACGACTGACCTCATTTACAGCCCATTGATTTCTAAATAGAAACAAACGGAATTCATAATAGCTTAGAGTAATTTATCTATGCTTACTATATCGTTTGAAATAAACTAGGTTTATGAAAACGGTGTGTTTTGAAGTATAGGAACCTATAACTTGTTGCATAGTTCCACAAGTAATGTAAATGTTACGTTAGTGATTACCGATAATAAAATGTCATTTACAAGCTCCTAAACATTCATCTTCAAAATACAGTAAACTGGAAGCAAGCGCACCAATTATCTCCTGCAAACTAATAATTTTCTCTATAAAATTAAATGTATTTATTTATATTTTATATTTTATAGGCATTTGTTAGAGCCTGTGTATTTCAAGAAGATCAGTCTACTTCTGATGGCCCAGAAGCATGTACATCATCTGCATGGTCTCATGGTTTCGGACCAGATCGCCATCTTCCACCATGGAGCGAAATGATGAATAAGCATTTAAGAGATAGCGAATTCAGAAATAAAAATAATCTAGATGCATCTGATAATAGGAATAGTAATTCATTAGGATTTAGCCTAACACGTGGTTTCACGGGATCAAACAGAGATCTATTTATTATTGGACTAGTTGCTGTAATCGTTAGTTTGGCATTAATTGTCGTGATATGCATTGCATTTGGATGTTTTATACGGTAAGAATATCAGTCTTCTCTACATAAAATTATTGTCACTATTATTCAGATTTTCTCTTGCGAAGAAGGTGTTTAATGCAATATGATGTTGTGGAGACTGCTCAATTTCATAGTTTGTATCATGGACTGATTTTAATAATACAACCAATAAAAAAACAGGTAGCATCGGACAACTGTTTTGTCCAAGTATAGGACTTTCAACCAGCGTATGGTATCATGAACTGATTGAATTTAGACGTGTAAAACGTTAGATGCCGTCTCAGTGGTCTATAGTTTAAGCCCTCACCTTGAGTCTAGAAGGTCTTCGGTTCTGTCCTAGGTGAGATCTTGGTTGCATACTGTGGAAGAAACATATACTAAGATGAAAATGTTTACTAGACTTCAATGGCTTTTTAACTGCACCAACCCATGATGTAAATTAGGACATTGTTTGGTAGATAAGTACTTTGCTTTTAAATAGTGTTTCACAGGACTGAGACCATATTCCACTTTCTTCCATTTGTACGGACAATATCATTATCTTCCACCGAGATATTTTAAGTTAAATCAGATTACATACACTTGTACTTTATAAATAAGCTAAAGTATGCAGTTTTTATTATATTGTTGCAACTGTTAATAAAATGTAACCAACCAAACAACAATATTAGTGATGAGGCCTGTAGCATGTACAAGTTGTGAAAAAATAAGCTTAAGTGGATGAATTCTAACTTTTGAGCACCGCTGTATTCCTCATGGAATCAGGTATTATATTAAATCGTAAAGTCTAATTGTATAATGAATAAAACATTTGGGTTTATTAGATTCCATTTAATTAACCTTTCTTCCTGTTTTAATTAGTCGTAAACGTCGTCCGAAACTAATTAACCATTTAACTCCAAATGATTCGACAATGAAACAACCACTGATGCGAATGAACGACTGTGGCCCAGCTAATGGAAACAGTTTTCCATTAATCACAAGTGGAATAGAAGTAATAAATACTAATTTTACATCCTCTGTCGACAAACGTGGTAGTTCGGTTGTTGGTAATGATAGCTTAAAAAGTGCAACTCTTATCGCTGCCTCATCACCAGGACCACCACAATCCTCATTAATTTCGTCAATCTCAACTACAGGTAGACCAAATCTGATCACATCAGCAACATCAAGCCCACTTACAGGCATTGCGCAATTGGATCCAAGGCATCACGTTACTCAAGCTCCTCCAATAATTGATATGTCGGTACACCATGGTTATTCCCTTGGTTTGACAAATCTCAATACTCCACCAGCAATCCAACAACCAATGAATCCTTTTATTTCACATCGAGGTGGGACTTCAAGCAGTCATACAGGAAGTCATCCAAGTTCTTTAACTGGCAGTGGAACAGGTGCAGCATACAATGTAATGGGAATAAATAATAACTGTGTTAGTGAAAATAATGCTGCTACAATATGTGACGGTTTAATAATTGCAAGAAATGGCTTACCAGGTTCTGAAAGTGGACCCGAATCCGCATTTGACATGCCGCACTTACCATTTGAAATGAAAGGTAAATAATAACATTAAATTTAACGAGATAAATAGTTATCATAGGGAAATCATTAAGGTATATATTAAAAAAGAAGATACCAGTATGAAATAAACACTGCTTTCTTCATATCAGTGATCCTATCACTATTATATTGCGTAGTATGGATTGACATGAAAGCAACTAAGTATACAATAGAAAAATAGACTGAGGATATCCTCAACGTCTTCTTTTTTTTAATCTGTGATACCCAACAGTTTCGTTCGTGTTTTCCGTTTAGTCAGTGAATACTGAATATTTTAGCATAATATTTATTAAGAATTTCAGCACAAGTATCTAGTTACTAAGAGAAGCCAACTATAAACAAGTCAATACAGAACAGCCCAACAGGCTGAATGAAATCATAAATATAATGTAAATCTCAGCGTGAAATAAAATTTACAATAAAAATTGGATTCTGCTATACAGCACTCACACATTTATTGAGCATACAGTTGGAAAACTTTGCTGTATAAAACATAATGAACATTGAAAACATTGTGGTCAAGTTTAACCAAAATGAATAGATTAAATTAGATTTGGAAATTATCATTGATTTATTCATTAGTAAGGTAAAACTAACCTGTCTCACAATGGTCTAAACCCAGTTTACGTTCCCTATTAGTGGGTGAACAATCCAACATTTGGTGAATTCTGCTTCACAATAATAAGAATAGCCGATATCGAAGGATCATTATGTATAAACTATTGTTAGACATCTAAAGAAGAAATGAAATTTTGCTAACAACTTGTCAGTTAAATAAAAAAATAGTTTATTTCATTGAAAAACATCAAATGGAAAAGAAAAAGTGATATGACCTAAAGAATAAATTTCAGGACACATTATACAAACAAAATACTATTGACTTTATTGATATTGGTTTTCAGGAGGTCTCATAAGTATTCGATAGATAAAAAAAAGAAAGATGAAAGTGTTCACCTTGAAAACGGGAATAAATTTCAAAGTAATGATGGTGGTAAATAATTGTGTAATGGGAATTAATGATGAGTTTTTTTCACATGATAATCATTTGTATCCTGAAGACTTAGTGAACTCTACTTTGATTAATACAGAAATAGTTGTTTATCAAACAATATTTTACAACGTATCTGTTAGATAATTCAGCATTTAAGAAATTTTCAGATTTTCTGTCTATTGAATCCATTTTTGATGGAGTTTTGTTCTCTGAGCTCGACGGTTTGGTCTACAGCTACAAGTAGACCAAATCTGATCACATCAGCATCACCAAGCCAACTTACAGGTATTGCACGACTGGATCCAAGGCATCACGTTACTCAGGCCCCTTCTCCAAACTTCTATCTGAAGCTTGTACTGATGATGTCGTTCAGAAGAACGATGAAAGCTCCACAATCAAACCATCCAGCTCAGAGAACAAAACTCCATCAAAATCATCTACCTGAGCTACAAGTCTTCTTCCCTATTGAATCCGTTATCTGACTGTTGTTTTAAATAAGATGGATGATTATGATGAAATTATAATATAACTAATTCCCTAATTTTCTAATTTGGTAAAAAATGTTCTCTAAATGTCAGCCTACAATGACGTATAATTTCAAATGTAATAGTTTTCATAAATCATACTTTCTTAATAGTTACTATGTTCCTGGATGGTGAGTTCATATTTGTGTTTGTGGAGACGAATTGATTTTATCACCTGGACTACATGTTCATTTCTTCATGTAGTGTATAAGACTGAAGGTACACTTCATTGACAGACAGATCAAGTTAGAACTGATATATTAAAAAATGAACTAATGTTTATTAGTTGCTTGCCTCTAGGCTAATACTAGACTACAGTGAACAATCATCACATCATATTGTGAATGTGAATCGTAATAATAATAATACCTAAATGGCAAATAAAATAGCAATGTTTTCGAGTCGGTACTTCATTAAGACGAGCTTGTATTGTATTGTAGTGCTCAGAACTTAAACAAGATTCTTACATACTTTCTAGTTTTTTTCATGGAACAAAAATATTTGACTGAAGCTAACGAATAAGTGGGTCTAAGTATATCATGTATATAATACCTAAACAAAATACGAGCTAAAAATCCCCGCGTTTAACAGAACAAATTATTTTCTGAAAGTTGCTCTGCTATATTGAAAACTGTACCTCCATCTATAAATCGACGTATCGACTGTTGAAAATATTTGATTAAATTACTTTTGAATCTGTATATTTAGAAAATTTTCACTAATTTATGTTGACCTTTGTTTTCATTGTTCACACTGGTTAAAAAATAAACCTAGGTCATTCGATGCATCACCCGATCCCTGTTAATCTTCTACCAGACCACGTTGCACGACTTTCGGCTGCAGACAATTTATTATTTTCACAAGAATATGAATCTATTGAAACTGAACAACAGTTCACATGGGAAAATTCTAATCTTGATGTGAATAAACCGAAAAATCGTTATGCTAATGTAATTGCTTATGACCATTCCAGAGTTGTTTTACAATCAATCGATTGTGTTCCCGGTTCTGATTATATCAATGCAAATTATATCGATGGTTACAGACGGATGAATGCTTATATTGCTACACAGGTAGGTCAATCTGATTAGCTGATAAAAATAGATATTTCTACCGAAAGATTAAATTTGTAATGACTTAAACAGACCAATCTTCTAAGTATACAACCTAAGCGTATTTGTCTTATATGTCTTATCTTTTTCAAAAAGATCTGACAAAGTGATACTTGATCACGTCATACTAGTCAATTCCGTTTAGTATTCAAACATGGACTTTGTTCGTACAGTAGTCAAGCATATTGTTAACAGCCTTTTCTTGAATTCTATTTTAGAATAATTCAAATAAATAAAGTTAACTGGGTGCGTTATATGTGCTACATTATTGTAAGGTAGTCATAAATATGATATTGACGTTACTTACTTACTTACTTACTTACTTACTTACTTACTTACTTACTTACTTACTTACTTACTTACTTACTTACTTACTTACTTACTTACTTACTTACTTACTTACTTACTTACTTACTTACTTACTTACTTACTTACTTACTTACTTACTTACTTACTTACTTACTTACTTACTTACTTACTTACTTACTTACTTACTTACTTACTTACTTACTTACTTACTTACTTACTTACTTACTTACTTACTTACTTACTTACTTACTTACTACTTACTTACTTACTTACTTACTTACTTACTTACTTACTTACTTACTTACTTACTTACTTACTTACTTACTTACTTACTTACTTACTTACTTACTTACTTACTTACTTACTTACTTACTTACTTACTTACTTACTTACTTACTTACTTACTTACTTACTTACTTACTTACTTACTTACTTACTTACTTACTTACTTACTTACTTACTTACTTACTTACTTACTTACTTACTTACTTACTTACTTACTTACTTACTTACTTACTTACTTACTTACTTACTTACTTACTTACTTACTTACTTACTTACTTACTTACTTACTTACTTACTTACTTACTTACTTACTTACTTACTTACTTACTTACTTACTTACTTACTTACTTACTTACTTACTTACTTACTTACTTACTTACTTACTTACTTACTTACTTACTTACTTACTTACTTACTTACTTACTTACTTACTTACTTACTTACTTACTTACTTACTTACTTACTTACTTACTTACTTACTTACTTACTTACTTACTTACTTACTTACTTACTTACTTACTTACTTACTTACTTACTTACTTACTTACTTACTTACTTACTTACTTACTTACTTACTTACTTACTTACTTACTTACTTACTTACTTACTTACTTACTTACTTACTTACTTACTTACTTACTTACTTACTTACTTACTTACTTACTTACTTACTTACTTACTTACTTACTTACTTACTTACTTACTTACTTACTTACTTACTTACTTACTTACTTACTTACTTACTTACTTACTTACTTACTTACTTACTTACTTACTTACTTACTTACTTACTTACTTACTTACTTACTTACTTACTTACTTACTTACTTACTTACTTACTTACTTACTTACTTACTTACTTACTTACTTACTTACTTACTTACTTACTTACTTACTTACTTACTTACTTACTTACTTACTTACTTACTTACTTACTTACTTACTTACTTACTTACTTACTTACTTACTTACTTACTTACTTACTTACTTACTTACTTACTTACTTACTTACTTACTTACTTACTTACTTACTTACTTACTTACTTACTTACTTACTTACTTACTTACTTACTTACTTACTTACTTACTTACTTACTTACTTACTTACTTACTTACTTACTTACTTACTTACTTACTTACTTACTTACTTACTTACTTACTTACTTACTTACTTACTTACTTACTTACTTACTTACTTACTTACTTACTTACTTACTTACTTACTTACTTACTTACTTACTTACTTACTTACTTACTTACTTACTTACTTACTTACTTACTTACTTACTTACTTACTTACTTACTTACTTACTTACTTACTTACTTACTTACTTACTTACTTACTTACTTACTTACTTACTTACTTACTTACTTACTTACTTACTTACTTACTTACTTACTTACTTACTTACTTACTTACTTACTTACTTACTTACTTACTTACTTACTTACTTACTTACTTACTTACTTACTTACTTACTTACTTACTTACTTACTTACTTACTTACTTACTTACTTACTTACTTACTTACTTACTTACTTACTTACTTACTTACTTACTTACTTACTTACTTACTTACTTACTTACTTACTTACTTACTTACTTACTTACTTACTTACTTACTTACTTACTTACTTACTTACTTACTTACTTACTTACTTACTTACTTACTTACTTACTTACTTACTTACTTACTTACTTACTTACTTACTTACTTACTTACTTACTTACTTACTTACTTACTTACTTACTTACTTACTTACTTACTTACTTACTTACTTACTTACTTACTTACTTACTTACTTACTTACTTACTTACTTACTTACTTACTTACTTACTTACTTACTTACTTACTTACTTACTTACTTACTTACTTACTTACTTACTTACTTACTTACTTACTTACTTACTTACTTACTTACTTACTTACTTACTTACTTACTTACTTACTTACTTACTTACTTACTTACTTACTTACTTACTTACTTACTTACTTACTTACTTACTTACTTACTTACTTACTTACTTACTTACTTACTTACTTACTTACTTACTTACTTACTTACTTACTTACTTACTTACTTACTTACTTACTTACTTACTTACTTACTTACTTACTTACTTACTTACTTACTTACTTACTTACTTACTTACGCCTGTTACTCCCAATGGAGCATAAGCCGCCGACCAGCATTCTCCAACCCACTCTGTACTGAACATTCCTTTCTAGTTCTATCCAGTTGTTGTTCATTCTTCTCATGTCTGTCTATATTTCTTGGAGTAATGCGTTCTTTGGTCGTTCTCTTTTCCTTTGACGTTGAAGGTTCCAAGTAAGGGCTTACCTTGTGACGTAGTTTGTGCTTTCCTCAATGTGAGCCCTATCCAATTTCAGCGCTTCTTCCTGATTTCTTCCTCCGCTGGAATATGGTTTGTTCTCTCCCACAGTAGATTGTTTCTGATAGTGTCTGGCCAACTGATCCGAAGTATTTTGTGTAAACAACTGTTAATAAACACATGTATCTTCTAGATGATGGCTTTCGTAGTTCTCTAAGTTTCCGCCCCATATGGTAGAACTGTCTTGACATTTGTATTGAGTGTTCTGACCTTGGTGTTGGTTGACAGTTGAGTCGAGTTTCAGATGTTCTTCAGTTGTAAATATGCTGCTCTTGCTTTGCCGATCCGCGCCTTCACATCTGCATCAGATCCACCGTGTTCATCAATGATGCTTCCCAAATATGTAAAGATTCTTACATCTTCCAAGGCTTCCCTGTCAAGTGTGATTCAAGTGGTGCATGCTGTGTTGCATAGCAGAATTTTGCTTTTCCCTTGCGTATGTTGAGACCTACTGATGCTGAGGCTGCTGCTACACTGGTCGTTTTCTTCTGCATTTGTTGTTACGTATGCGATAGGAGAGCCAGACCATCTGCGAAGTCTAGATCGTCCAGCTGCACCCTAACTATTCATTGTATCCCATGCTTCCCCGCAGATGTTGACGTTTTCATGATCCAGTCGATCACCAGGGGAAAGGGAAAGGGTGAGAGTAAGTAACCTTTCCTGACATAGGTCTTTACTTCGAACAAGTCTGTCAATTGTCCTCCATACACGACTTAGCAGATTAATCCATCGTAGGAATTCCGTATGCTATTGACTATCTTCGCAGGTACGCTGTAGTATCGAAGAAGCCTTCATAATGTTGTCCTATCCACATACGCCTATAACCCCTCGTGTAAGAGCAGACACCGCCCACCTCGATTTTTCACCAACTTAGTCTTACGTTAATGTGCATAATATTGATCGTTTTGCACGCTATACAAAACGATCTAGTAAAGTCAAGCAGTAGCTATGGACAATAAAGTACATTTATGGGTGTGTAAAATATAGTTTTAATAATTATTCTCGTAATCGAAGTAAAAAATTTCATTTTTATCATCAACAGATTATTTTAGAAATTTGGATCTGATGTTGAATATAATTACAAACTACCCATAAAGAATTATACATATAGATATATTCATGTGTATGTATTTATAAATATAAATTATCATAATTGAACTAATCGTAATAGTAACAAACCCTTGCATGTACCTAATTTGGCCTTACCAATATTTCACTATAATAACCATAAATCTTATAAATTTATAGTTGTAACAAATTATGTGTATAACCATTGCAAATAATGAAAGTAGATTTGAAATAATGCTTGTTCAAACTCCCATAGTACAACAAAGAACAGGTGACCACTACATCTAACTGATATAAATTACTAGGTCATTTATATGTTAATGCATCTCAGGTTATTAATTTCTCTGATGAAACATGCTGGATAAGCTTATATTTATTGTAAACAGTATTATGTTACATTGTACTTTTTTAAGTTTCATTCCCTCACATTTTGATTGTGTTCGTTTTTTGTTCAACATTGAAGGGTCCTACCCCCGAGACATTTTCCGACTTTTGGCGTATGATATGGGAACAACGTGTATCAATTATCGTAATGATGACTAGATTAGAAGAACGTTCTCGTGTCAAATGTGATCAGTATTGGCCATCACGTGGACCAGAATCATTTGCAAGTGGCCTCTTATTGGTTAAACCTGTTGATACCATTGAATTAGCCTATTATACTATACGTACATTTCACTTAACAGCTCGTGGAATTGAAGATGAATGTAGAGAAGTTAAACACTTTCAATTTACTGGGTGGCCAGATCATGGTGTTCCTGAATATCCTATACCATTATTATTATTTATTCGACGTGTTCGAGCTACACTAGCACCGAATACAAATAATATGTTTCAATCCAATCATAATGTAGAACAAGCACCAATTGTTGTTCATTGTTCTGCTGGCGTAGGAAGAACAGGTTAGTTAGTTGGTTGGTATTGAGATTACATTAAAATTATACTTAAAAATAACAATGCTCAAAGGTATAGAATCATTAATTTTTTATTAATTCATGAACCCCTCTACTATAGGAACAACAATACAATAAACTATAACTAAACTCCTCTCAATTAGGATTCGAATGCACAATATATTCTAGTGAGATGAAATATATCTTTTTTTTCTCATTCAAAGATAACAATACATACACTACATTTGAACTTGATTACCAATTCCAATATCAAATAAAACTTTGCTTTTAATGCTTGTGAATTAAGGCAATATCGAAACAATATGCCCAGGATACACATATGCCAATAAAAGACTGATCAATTGCAGTCCTAAATATCAATGGGAAGATTCAAACAAACAATATCAAGTGTATTTAAACTTCACCCCATTGCACAAGCAAGTGACTATCAGGACTCAGTAGCTAAGTGGATAATGCGATGGCATTTGAAGCGAACAGTACTGGGTTTCAGTTCGAGATTGAATATCAACTGTGAGATGCAGGTACATTCAGCCGACGAGTCTCAAATGGGACGAAGCGTGCGTCCTGGATTTCACTGCCAGCCACTATCCAACTTTGATCATAGTGTTTTATTTTAAACCGCTAAAATAAACCTTCTTGCAAACCTTAATCATGATTAGTTTCTGAATAAGCGATCAATTTACTATGTATACAAAACAATCAAACGCTGTACAGAAATTGAATAAGAGATAGAAACTCAATATCCCTATGTTTATCACTTCAAAATAAGAAGAATTTTTCTATGCGCTTACATTATCAATATAGTTAAATGAAGAGTTATTATGTAAAGAAATGTGTATTGTCATTAAAAAAGGCCTAAGCAATGTACTATAAATGAAGATAATGAATTTGAAAGTTGATCTATATTTATTGTAATTTATTACATTCAGTATACGGAAGCCTAAACGAAATTTCTGTATATCTAATGATCTGCTTAATCTCACGGGATATCAAGACAATAATAATAATAATAATAATAATAATAATAATAATAATAATAATAATAATAATAATAATAATAATAATAACAGGCATAAAGTTTTGTGAATTCTGTCAGCATTGTATGGAAAAACTCACGCACTTATATATACACATATATACACTTACAAGAACATAGAAGCCAATAGGAGTATAGGAAAAATATGGTTTATGTAAAGGGATTATCGATCGACTATAGTTCCTACTCTTATTCATACCATCCTAGTTACCTACTTTCTTTCCCTCGTTTGCTTTTAGATAACTCATTATCTAACTGGTTTAAATTTTCCTACCTAACATTTAGACACTCATCTCTGAAGTGTTAAAGATAATTTTTCCAAGTATTTGAGTGAATAATCGTCTTATATAGCGTCAACATCAGGCTCTCCAGTGATAATATATATTTATTGTATCACAATGGTAAAAACATAGTATTTATAAATAAGTGAATTAGGTAATAATGCACATTAAAATAATGATTTTTTGCATTGGTTTGATTTGCATACATAAGGACAGTCGTCTCACAAAATTCACGAGATTCCAATGAACGAAATGTCAAAGTATTTTATAACTTGTTCAACTATGATCAGGCCTATAAAGAAAAAAATCATTATTTCTTGAGGTTCATAAATCCTTTGAACCTCTTTAATAAAAATTCTACTAGTTCATTGTACTTAGTAGATAACGTGGATCAATGGGAAGTTAAGTTTTCGAATCGAATAATTCTCCTTATATGGCTTAATTATTGAATGAAGTAACTAAGTTGCCTAGGAAACTGAAATCCAATAATTTTATGGACGTCGAAACTCAACAAATGATGAATCAATTTATAGGCTGCACATTTGAGCATTGCCTACATCTGTTGATTCTGAAAATAAATTATTCTCTTACATGATAATTTATAAACCATCACAGAAGGCCTGAGAGAACAATTTATTGTTTCACCATACTGTATAATGACAATCGTAACAAATATCTTAATAGTTATCATTAGCATTGAGTAATTGTACTATTTGATACTGTATATAGCAGTGAAATCGAAGATGCGAATTTCGGTGAATTTTTAGACTAGATATAGCTTCATCTCAGTGTTAATTTTTACACTAGTACTTATCATTATAATATTATATGAATACTTGTCAGTTCTTATATATTTCCCTGATTCGTGGTTGAAACGATTCACTTTTATCAAGGCTATTCATAAAAATCGTGAATTGCTGAAAATGATCTATTGTATAATTTAATCAACAAATCAACCGATCAGAGATATTATCTTAAATGATAAAAATCATATCCTTCATGCCAATAATATAAATGTCATCAGCACCTATAAACATTACATATTTCATGTCTATATTTTGTATATTTTATGATAACATTTCAAAGCTGTTACTCAAGACTCATTCTATAAACCAAAACGTAACACTGTCAATATTCTCAGACTATACCATGAAATATTTGAAACACCAAGGAAATTCATTTCCTCTGTTTTTATCCTTCTTACCAATGTTCAGTAAATAGACGAATCATATATTAGTAAAAGTGTTGAATTTAACTGATAACTTATCGTCTTTATTTTAAAAGGCAACTATATAAATATCAGAAGGGGTTTTATGGGTATTATAGTAATTTTAATAGTTGAGATCATGAGTTAACTGAAGCTAGACCATCATGAAAAACCTAGAAGCACTGGACGGCCGTTTCGTCCTATTGTCGGACTGGCTTCAAGAAGTAGTTCCCGGAGTTCTGGTGAGAAGCAGTGACCAGTGGAGTTGAACTAGGTCTGTTGTGAGATAGTAACTTACTGAAAACAATGGTGGATGTGTCGCTCAATTTCGTGGATTAGTTGAAGTTAGACATTAACACTGTTGGATGCCGTCTCAGTGGTCTAAATGTTAAGCGTTCGCGCGCGAAACCGACATGTCCTGGGTTCGAATCTTGCTAGGCGGGATCGTGGATGTACACTGCTGAGGAGTCCTATAATAGGACGAAACGACTATCCAGTGCTTTCACGTTTTTCATGGTGGTCTAGCTTCAATAGGCTCGCATAAATTCGTCTTTATCGCAGCATGAAAAACTACATTTAGTTAATTTATAATTTGTTATTCATTCAATATTATATAATTTCTTTTGCAATATACTTTCTAATCAGGTGCATTCATTGTAATTGACATTATGCTAGAAAGATTGAAATATGAAAAAACTGTAGATATTTATGGTTGTGTTAAAGCATTACGTAAACAACGTAATTTTATGGTTCAAACAGAAGATCAATACATTTTCATACATTCAGCTCTTTTAGAAGTAATTGATGCTGGAAATACTGAGGTACCAGCTAGAAATTTATCTGCTCATATTAAAAAATTACGTATGTTAGATGCAACTGGTGGTTCAGGTATGGAATTGGAATTTAAAGTAAGTTAATGTATTTTAAAAAAAATTAATTATTTGAAGTTCATCTTATATGAAGATATACTTTAACTCGGCTACTGGATTTAGCTCATAAACAACCGATATCCAAATAACAGCATTTAACACTAAATACTTATCATGAAATCGAACATAGGAACATTAGACGTAGCGGTGAATGTCTAACCTTTAAACAAATTAGATGAAATACTTTTGTCATTAGATTACACTATCTACATATACCCCTCATTGTATTCATATCTTAACGTTCATAATCTTATTAACATTATGAAATTTATGGATATTTTATGGTCATACATATGAATAATAACGAGGTTCGAAAAGGAAGCATTGGTTAACACCCAAAATGATAGACATCCGATAGACACTTAATCAAGCGTTTGTACACTGAACCAAAGGTTCGAATTTTAATAAATGATTAACCAGTTTACCGAATTTCAGGTCATTTTACCATTGATTTTGAGTTAGAAAGTATGGGAAAAACCATTTATTTATCACAATTCTCAAAACATGCTATTCGAAATTTAAAAAAGATTTTCTCTATGTAAATATCCGTATGAAATCACAATGGGTGGTAGAAATTCATTGAAAATTTGTCATTAGGTTTATTTTCAATGTTAATCTATGTACAAAATATTTGAAGGGATGATCCATTAAGTTCAATGAATGAGGTCATTCCAGTCATTATTTTTCACTAATAACTCTATCTTACTGTATAGTATAAGGTCGAAAGCACAGTTTCATGAACTTTCAACAGTTTACACTAAAGTATATTATAGCCAAACGAATATAGCTCAACTAGGCGTGGTAAAAAAACGAAGTTGAAAAACTAACCTTTGGAGGTGCAATATATGTTTACCAGTCAGATAAGCAATGAATGAATTTGTTGTCGACTAAGGTCAGCTAAAAGATTTTATCATGATGCATTTGAAGTTCATACGTACAGCATTTTAAACACAACACGTGCTATAAAGCGTTCCATGAGTGACCTTGGAACGTTCATGATAGGTACATTTTTTCTTGTTAAATTCATAACTTAACAAGTACACATTTATGTAATTTTGTATTATTCACGGATCAATTTGTTTTAAAAGTAAAATCACAAATGTCTTTGGTCATACTGTCTTCTAGCTAATGTTTATTAAGTATGATTTCTTTGACTATAAGTGTTTTTAGAGAAGAACCGGCTAACAGGTCATCTCCAATATGAAATGCAAAGGTCGTCAGTTTAGTACCGTATAATGCTATAAATGTGAATTGCCTAAAATTCTTAGATTTAAATGAAATAGTACACCCGAACATCCAATACTGTCTTAGCTAGTATCAGTTTCTAAATCAGATCAACTTCATATTACTAAGCATACATTATTTAAAATTGCTGGATCATTCGATACTCATTCAAGTCATGTTTATCTGGCGTTTTAGTACTAGTCATGTCTATATAATCACTATAATCCCTCAAACTATTGGATACACTAAAACTCTGTCAACAAAACCCGATCAACTAGAAAAGATGAAATAAACATGATATTATTCACTTCTTAGTAATCAAACAATTTTACACGTATCTCAATCCCACAAGAGGTTAGTTGCAGTCTGAGTTGTATGACGTAGATTTAAATATTGCAGAGAAAAATAATCTCATTAATGAAAGAATAACATCTAGTTGACGAGTACCAAATAGCATATAACCTAAGTTCAAAGTTCCATCCTGATTACATCCAGTCACCTAACATAATATTCACACATTTCGAATAAGCAAACTGACAATAATCGGATTAATATACAAGGATGGCTAGTGACTAGCAGTGAAATCCAGGACGAAAGTTTCATCTTATTTGGGACTCGTTAGCTGAATGTACCTGCATCTCACAGTTGATGTTCACTCTCGGACTCCAACCCAGTACTGTTCGCTTCAAATCCCATCGCATTATCCACTTATCTACTGAGTCCTGATAGTCACTTGCTTGTGCAATGGGGTGAAGTTTAAATTCACTAGATATTGTTTGTTTGAATCTTCCCATTGATATTTAGGACTGCAATTGATCAGTCTTTTATCAGGACACTTACCTATTGGGTCCTGATAAAAGACTGATCAATTGCAGTCCTAAATATCAATGAGAAGATTCAAACAAACAATATCAAGTGAATTTAAACTTTACCCCATAGCACAAGCAAGTAGCGAGTCCCAAATGGAACGAAACGCGCTTCCTGGATTCCACTGTTAGACACTATATCGAGACAATTTGCATAGTATGCATAATTGTCTTTAAAAAAAAGAATCTTTTCAATGAAATATTTGTATTGAATTCATATGTAGATGATAAATTTCATCCTGAATATCAGCCTTACTTAACATTGATTCTTCTTAATGATATTGCAGAACATTTACTTAAAGATTTATTCAACAATAACATATCACTTAATTGAAAATAAACACGAAATTTGAAAATATATTTTCTTCACGAATTGTTTATTGTGATAATGAAATAGTGGTGAGGGGAAACAGTTTCCTATTGATAAATGAAATGAATTCAATGAAGAAAATGAAGTAACTTAAAGAGAAACATTTTCATTGCATTTTCTTTACTACTTACAATGTGTATAGTATGGTATATAGTTTGTTTAGAGAAAAATGTTATTAGGTTTTTTCAATTATAATGAATTATAGGAACCAAACGTATTATACTTTGAAGTTTATCGATAAAATACTGTCATACTAAATAAACTTTAAATACAACATTTTAAACAAACAAAATAGGGTAAGATGTTGTTTATTATAATTAAAACAATCCTACCATTATAAGCAAAGATGAATGGTGGCTAGCAGTGGAATATTGGGTGTGCATTTCGTCCCGTTTAGGACTCGTCGGCTGGATGATGTTCACTCTGAGGCTCGAACCCAGTACCGTTCACTTCAAATGCCATCACGTTATACGCTTAGCTACTGAGTCCTGATAGTCACTAGCTTGTGCAGTGGAGTGAAGTTTTAATTTATCTTCGTATTGGCTGTTTAAATCCTTCCATTAATATTTAGGACTATATTTGATCAGTTTGTTTCTTGCATATGTACATCTGTGGTGGATTGCCTCTATATTTTCTTAAGTCACAAGGATTATAAACAGAGGTAGATGTTGCCTAGCAGCGAAATCTGAGTCGTGTCCGGAAGTGAACATCAACATTGAGATACAAGTACACCCGGTTGATGAATCCCAAGTTGGACGAACCGCGTGTCTCATATTCCACTGTTAGCCACCATACAACTCTTCTTATAATGCTTGTTACTTGGTGGGAACATCAATTCACTCCACATAGGATGCACATATGTCGAAAGAAACTGATCGGTTGCAGTCATATACAAATGGGAACATTTGAACGAACATTGTTATTTTCAGTTGCTGAACAATTGGTAAGAAGGAGCACATATCTAATTTCAATGAATTTTTAGTAGTATAAATCTATAAACAAATACTATCAAAATTTATATGAACTAAATTGGTGTCATCCCGTATTTCTACTCTATTTAATAATCATAGTCCCATATATACCAGTTTCGTCATGAAGTTTGAATTTTTTCTTGTTACCAATACTCTTACTTCAGAAATTGGCACAGTTTCGATTACCACATGCTAAATACACTTCAGCACAACAGGGTTGTAATAAGAATAAAAATCGTCTATTGAATATATTACCATATGAATCTACTCGTGTCCCATTGCAACCTATACGTGGTGTTGAAGGATCTGACTACATAAATGCTAATTTTGTGGATAGTTATCGTGATCGAAGAGCATATATTGCAACTCAAGCTCCAATGGCAAAAACAGTGGAAGATTTCTGGAGAATGATTTGGGAATTGAATTCTAACATTGTTGTAATGTTGACCGATCTGAATGAACGAGGTCGAGTAAGTTGCTGCTATTTTTTATTGCATCTTAGTTTAGTGTTCATTGGTTGGAAAGTGATCAATTTATAATATTACACTTTCAGGAAGTATTATTCACCTAAAACAATCATTACTCTATTATAGTCATTTTTACTCGCTACAAGTCGTAAAAATACTCATTAGCTAGCCTTATTAACAGTTCTTTCAAAAATTTATGTATCCGCACACAAGTGATTCAGCCTTATTCCAGCGTACAGTGCCGTCTATTCTGAATATATTTAATATCATATAAAAACCCTCAAACTGGTTATAACTAGTTACAAAGTGAAAATGAACTATTCATTTACCTTTTGAATGTCTGAAATCTAGTCTTTAGTGCATTATGTTTGCTGGTTCATATAAGTTACCTACATAGTTTTGACTGTTCGCAGTCGTAATCAAGAGAAATTGTCGTAGAAATGATTTCGGTCGCGAATAATTTAACGCGAGACTAGTCATTGTCGCTTGTTTATGAATTTGTTTCAAAAAATTATCTTTAATATATCATCGTAAATCTGATAATCACTTATAATATGAATAGTCTATCTCGATGTATCTTCATTTCTTATAAGTACAATGAAAGCTGCTGTTTACCAAATGAGTTTTGCTTCAACTTTTTCCTTTTAAATGGTTTGATTGCTGTTTGCTTATTCTGCCATGTAAATTGTAAGGAATAACATATTTGTAAGTCACACAAAAATGAGGACAGCCAGCTAGTTCCACTGATTATTAACGATACTATAGTCAAGTAATTAACCGTAGTTATTGGTAGTTCATATCAACAGTCGATTTCACAGCCTAAACTACTAACAGATCTTAGCTAGATCACCATGTGAAAGCACGGAACGGTAGTTTCGTCCTAGCATGAGATTCTAACAACGTGCATTCACGACTACGTACCTAAGCATCGAACTCAGGACCTTTGGTCTTACATCCAGGTTTTTTTGAAGTAGATAAGTTATAATGTTACACATCAATAACGTAAACTTGTGCATTTTCATTTTACAGGAATGTTGTTATCCTTACTGGCCAACAGAAAGATCATCTAGATATCAGTATTATGTTGTTGATCCTATGGTTGAATATAATATGCCAAATTACACACTGAGAGAATTTAAGCTAACAGATGCACGTGACGGTCAAGCACGTACACTTCGCCAATTTCAGTTTACAGATTGGCCTGAGCATGGTGTACCTGAGAGTTGCGAAGCATTTATTGATTTCCTTGGACAAGTACATAAAACCAAGGAACAATTTGGACAAGATGGTCCAATTACTATACATTGCAGGTAAGTTGATTAAAATGATATTTTAGCCTTACTTGTAAAATAAAATGTGTGACTAACTGATTGTAGGGCAATACACCTGAAGGTCCCAAGTTAGATCCCGGGTGGGATTATGGAAGCACACTTTCTTACCAGAATGATAAAGCTGCCTATTGTTCCATGATTTTTATGTAAACAATTACATACAGAAATCATTTATTATTTGTGAATAAGTGAACTAGTCCATTGTTGTTCGTCAGTAATATAAAGTGTACAGAACATTAGGATACGAAGAAATATGTCATAAATTTGCACAAGTTAATTAAAAAGTAAGCATCTGAACTAATCTTAGTTATCTATACGTTACATTGTTTGGCATGATTTATTAAAGCTTTGGGTATAATAACATAACACTGTTGATGATGAATTTATCGAGGCAATCAAATCATTGCTTATGCTATTCCGAAACAGAATGGTGATTAACTCCGTAATTATCTACAACGAATATGCATAAATAAATGATCATATCCCTAATGTCGGTTGACAAGGATAGAAAACGGTTCGAATCACCTCTTCAGAGTATTTGCAAAGTTACAACCGTAAAATTAATGATAGAATCTTGTCCATTTAAATTATTCATCTACAATTGGTCAAGTCAAACTGGATATAAAACTACTTAAAATCCATATCAGTATAAAATTTTGAAGGATGAAATTTACACAGAAGATTGATAGCACTATCTATTAATAAATACTGTGTATAACAACCTTTCCCCATTATGATTTTCGTTAGTCAAAAGTGGGCAATACGGAACAAAATAACACACTTCTACTTCTTTTTTAATTTGTTAAATCTCTAATTAGTTGTAAAATTTTAAAATACTTTAATTAGTAGTCCCGTGAATTCTTTCTCACAACTTACAAGAAAGTATAACAGAAAGTTCTTGGGGGATAAAATTCCATTACTTTCTTGAACAATATATTTTTACTTTGATTATAATTTGAGCTAACACTTACTAGTAATGTGATGTATGTTACATATGCTCACGGAGATAATTAGTATGTAGCATCAATCAGACATGAAATACTTGGCAGCAGAATGTTACAATGAAGAGAACAGAAGGGGAATCTGAGAATAATCGAAACAACAGAATTAGAGGAGTAAGGAAATGCGTAAAGGATAATTCAAAGAAGATGTACAAATGATATATTTAATGTATAATTTTCCCATTTTACTAAGCCACTATGTGATTTAGCGTTAAATAACAAATTGGTTATCTTCAACAAGTCTTCGATCACTACAGTACTAATAATGATTAACTTCTTCAATATATAATAGCACTGTTCTATAAGTTTAACATTTATTGTTGTGCATTAGTAAATATTATTTAATAGACTCATAGGAATATTAAAAAAGCTTTGATTACAAATTATTCGAATTTATTTATTTTTATTCTAGTGCTGGAGTCGGTAGAACAGGTGTATTCTTAGCTTTATCCATTGTTCTTGAAAGAATGAGACATGAAGGAATTGTAGATATGTTTCAAACTATACGAATGCTTCGAACACAACGACCTGGTATGGTTCAAACTGAAGATCAATATCAATTTTGTTATAATGCAGTTTTAGAATATCTTTCATCATTTGATCATTATTCAGTATAATTGTTGACAGATGTCAACATTATCAATCAGATAGATAGATAAAATGAGTTATTTCTTAAAGAAGCAAAATGAATTGCCCTCTTCATAACAATTGAAATTAGTCAATATTAATTCCTAACGTACTATTTACTTTCTGTTACTAAGAAGTTATCTGTTGTATTTTATGCTTCCAGTTTTTTTAATGTTCACTGAACCTTTAATTCTGTAAATTGTATTACTACTACTACTACTACTAAGACACTGTGCTTTTCTTGTGTTTAATAATTATTTACTCGGTTTCGACTTGTACGTCTACATGTGTGTATATGTGTTTGTGTACATTAGTCATTTAAAACATGTAACGTAAAGAAATTTATATCCCGGTTTTATAACCAGTTAACAAAACGTACATTGTTTTTCAATTAAGCTGCATAATTAATTAGTCGGGGTCTATATATCGAATTACCAATCAGACACTGGCTGTTCGTATTATTTATTAGGTTCTTTTTAAAAAATATAAAAAAAATCCTATCATTACTGTGCTTATAATTATGTAAGATTGGTTCTTCCATGACTTGTCTACTATCATGTTGTTGTTTATGTTTTCGCCAGATTTTGTGGATCACTTATTTCTCTTTTCTTCTGTATTTTGTTCCCTTATTTCTATGCTACTAATCATAGTTGCGTATCGTTGTCTTTTATATTTCGCAACAAAAGTTTATCATCGTACTTTATTCTCTTTTGGTTACTTATATGTGTCATTTAAATAAAAGAAACCACAATTAAATGAAAACTACAATGTAAATGCATTTGTAGATCCACTTTGCGTAAGTACACAAAAGCTGAACAATATTTGTGATGATGAAGGCATATATATATGTACTGATAGGTATGTATACATTTTTAATGTTATAATTGGGAACGTAACCGTTCCTATGAATAACACCATTATTATTCCTATTTTTTATTTGAAAAGAAACTTTTAATGAGCTTGTAAAGATTTCCATTTATGAATCTTATGTCTACGTATATGTATAAATAGTATTGAATATCATGGGTTGTTGTTTTGTGATTATGAAATTCTCTATAAGAGCGCATACCCCTCATACCTACACATACATATACAAATGTTCAAATAATTGCATACATCAAATGATATCATTTTAATTTTATTTGAAAAAAACCTCAATGTTACTACTCATATTGAAACAGTTATTTTAACAATTAAGCTTTACCGATACACTACAATATGTATTCTTAACTCTATTTAGTACTTTTTAAGTAGTTGTTTTCAAACAAACAAAAAAAGCAAACATATTTATGAGGTTTCATGCGAGTATAAATGTAAGTTAACCAACCTTTAAATAACTATGATAACAAGACTTTTAAAGAAAACAAATTGAAATCTAGTTATTTTATTCACTTTGCCCCCCCCCACAACTTCTTGTTCTTTTTCTTTATGCAAGTTAAATAAGACTGAGTTAATCATAAAACAAAACGTTTAATGTGAACTTGTTAAAAATCTTAAGAGAACAATACTTATTTGAATAAGTTACGTATCTTTTTATTTCTTCATGTTACAATCTGTATTTACCGCAAAATATCAACAATAATGACAAGAAATTATTTTAGTTCTAACAAAATGAAATGAATACTGTAATCATTGTGTAAAAAACAATAATAGCTATGCTGAGCAAAGATGAATGTTGACTAGTAGTGGAATCTAGGACATGACACTAGATTGTACAATGAGGTGAAGTTTTAATTCATTTTTGTATTGGTTGTTTCAATCTTCCCATTGATGTTTAGTAATACATTCATCTGATGAATCACAAATAGGATAAAACGCGCTTCCTAAATTCCACTGCTAACTACCATCTTTCTCTGCTTATAATGCTTGTGAATTAAGGCAATATCGAAACAATATGCACAGGATACACATATGCCAATAAAAGACTGATCAATTGCAGTCCTAAATATCAATGGGAAGATTCAAACAAACAATATCAAGTGAATTTAAACTTCACCCCATTGCACAAGCAAGTGACTATCAAGACTCAGTAGATAAGTGGATAATGCGATGGGATTTGAAGCAAACAGTACTGGGTTGGAGTCCGAGAGTGAACATCAACTGTGAGATGCAGGTACATTCAGCTGACGAGTCCCAAATAAGATGAAACTTTCGTCCTGGATTCCACTTCTAGCCACTATTCATCTCTGCTTATAATGAGTAGGACTTCAAGCAATATCAAGGCAATTTGCACAGTATACACATATGCCAATAAAAGACTAATCGATTGCACTCTTAAATATTAATGGGAAGATTCAAGTAAACAATACAAAATGAAGTTAGAATGATTATGAATAATTAAGGGAATGAAGATGTGTTAATTAATTTGACAGATCATACAAATAGGCAATGTTCCAATTGAATTCGCATATAGATTTCAATGGTTAGCATTAACTGCTATAAGCAAATGAACAGGTTATGATAAATCAATAATATCTAATTAAACTTCACAATTCCAATTAGTTATAAATATGGTGATATACGATGAAACTGAATTCCAACCCATGTAACCGATATATATATATATATATATATATATATATATATATATATATATGTAAGTGAAGGGAAATATTATCGTAAGTGATAAAGTTACACACTTTGTTCTGTCTAATTTATTCCATACTAAGTAAGGCATTCATTCATTTTATTATTTAACAGATCATGTATTCACACTAGAAAACGAAAAAGATAAACATTTTAAATTATTAAAGTCACTGTCAGAAAGTTTCTTGGTTAATGACATCAAATAAAGTTTTATTATTCAGAGCCTGGACAATGTTTATTTCTCTAGGAAAGTGAGATAGTGAGAAATCCATTCATTGTTTGCTTGTATGTCAAGATGAACTCAATGTTAAAATATGTCATATGGGATTAATACAGTAACTTTTAATTATTTTGAGCTTATTTGAAATATCAGTCAACAGTTGTCTTATAATGAATAAGGTTTCTAAGAAAATTATAAGTGAAAGCAAATTATTCTTGTCATAGTTTTTAACCAATTTATAATTAAACCATCTGATTGCTGACATAAGATCAAAAAAAAATAATATTCACGGTTTCCACATCTTTATCTTAGGACGTCATTCTAACTGTACGCAAGCATTATGTAAAGTATAGAAAGTTGTTTCGGAAACTATTTACAAAATCATAAGTAATCCAGACATAAACTAATTTACTATGAAGGGAATGGGTATTTGTAAGGATATTACTGAAATTTTAAAGTGTAGGCATCTGATCATAGACATTAGAATATGCATAATCAACATAAAACCACCAGAAAAATTTAAATTGAGTTACTTTTCTAGCAACAGGTTATGAATTATATTAAGTGCTTATTCATAGATGAATGTGTATTAAAATTTCGCAACCATGTAAAGTGTCATTCAAGATAAGCACGATAGTTTCGTTAAAACAAGAAATGTCCTCAAATGTCCTGGTACGGCCGAGAGTGGGGATAGTCAGCTCTCCCTCTCGAAATACTAGCACATGGCCACGCGTATGAAGCCACTGTCAGGGAAGTCCTACTTACTGCCTTCTTGCGGTGGAGGTATTATTTACGAAATTGAGAGGACAAAATGAGAATGTCCGGGCGTTTAACCGGATTGATTGATATGGAAGAACCACCTAATGTCTTTGGGAAACCCTGATTCTAAACCAACGTTGCAGATACAAATTCAAAATAGATTCGGATACTCAATCATTTAGGAAATTACCTATGTAGGATTATAATATCTTTAACATGAATATCCATATTTACCATACTTAACTCAAATAAGAAAGTCAAAATAATAATAATGATCACTTTACTCAAAACCATCTATTTGATTACAGAGTAAGCAATATTACCACATTCATCAAACCTGTAAATGTTTTACAATGATTCTGAAACAGTATTTATCTAACATTCAGACAACCAGTATAGCTCCTACGGGATATCATTTTGTCACCATACAATATATACATGATCCATAAATTCCAATGTCACCTGCATCTTGTTTCCCCAGATACTGGTAGTTCAACTTGAATTTCGAGGTATTTTGCTTCATTATTAAATTGGAAGCATTTTAACACTTTAGGAAGCTAACATATGTAAATAAATAATTATATCAAATGTAAAACATTATAAACTAAATGTAGTATTTATACAATAGGACAATGGTCTTCTTAATTGTTTTAATGAACTATTCAAAAATACATACTTAACTTGAAAATTTCTAATATAAACTAGTAAGCTGTTTTCATTATAAGCACAATTAAATGATCTGTAGATTGATATATGGTAGTGTTAAAGTGGATAATAGCCAATATCTTTTATATCAAGACGTTTTCATAAAGTTTTGTTTCCGCTAAAAATTGGTTTCTGTCAATAAGGTATAAAGTTCTTTTCATATAATACAAAAATGCTAACGTGATGAATCCAATTAAGTTCCATTCTTGTCAAAATATTTAAGTTCCTAATAAACACCAAACATATATATACACACACACTCAGATGGTTTACGCTAGGGGTGTTAGTTACATCGGTTCAAATGAAGTATGAATAACTTATCTGACAAGAAACATCAAATTCATCATTCTAACATGTTCAATGATCAATATACGCGAAATCAATGTTTTTTTTTCAGATGCTTTAAAAAAAACAACTTTTTCTAAAGTTATATTGATACGATAATGGTGGAAATAGTTCCTATGATTGAATGGTTGACAGATATGACAATGTATTAAAATATTCATTTAGTTGTATTATTGTTAATTACATGGGGAAGAAACAGTTTCTTAAAACAGTGTTGACTAACCCTGTCAATGAATATTATCTCACTTACGAATATAAAAAGTTTACTTTGGAGGAAAAATATAGCTCAATGACTCCACGTGATGCTTATGAGCAACCTTGTCAGCTGATTCGGGCGGTCGGTAGAGATCGGACTAAACCACCGCTCGTATGCTGGGCTTTGATTACTCGTGTTCGTTCTTCGAGGCTTTAAAAGTCGTAGCAGGCTGCCCGATGTGTATGTTTTCATATATATGAATTGCATGAGCCTCGGCTTATAGTGCTTGTACATGGAGGGTATGCACGTAGGTTAGCACATGGAACGTAAGCTGAAAAATGTCTGCCTTATGTTTTATAAAATCAGAGGCCCAATCCTTCGGGTCGAAGGTTTAATAAAAAGATATGGTAGCAAATACTAGTAAGAGGTGATCATCAACCAACCCTAATAGGGTTCTTCTGTTTACATATATGCAGGGGAGAAAGCTCGTAATGCCTAAGAGACAGTCAGCTGTACCAAATATGTTCAAAGCGAGTGGTGACCATTTATCCTCTCAGGTGGGTGAACATACTCTTATGTATCCTAATGGATGCATAAGGGAAAATTTGTATGTTACCGGTATGCATGTAGACTATACTTACTCTTGATGCATCGCCCGTGAGTCAAGACCTGGGAGTTCTGACGATTTACCTCTGAAACCACATTCACGCAGTAGGTTGGTGAACCTCTGAAAGCGGGTTCTAATCCATACAAGCCAATGAGATTTATCGAGTGGGGCTTCATCATCATCAAAACTTTCCAAAAGTTGATTCTGCTAAAAACGCCTGTTTGTTACTTTGGTATAATGAAGAATATTTCTTTCCCCTAATTAAATGGTTTATTTGTGAATCGTTCACTGTCATTTTATTCATTATCATCATTGTTCACCTTAAAAATATATTCAACTAATTAAAGTCAGAATATGAATATTAGGTGACGATTCAGTAGTCTATAAGTCAAGCGCTCACCACTATACCTGAATGTCTAGGATTCGATCTTTGATTAGTTTTTGGATGAACATTCTAGATGAATCTCAAACTGGAACAAGATGACTGTACAGTCTTTCAATGTTTGTCAAACTAAAGTCACTCAGTGACTACAAAATCCAAACATATTTACAATTCTTCACACTATGAAATGTAAGACTTTGTAATAATATTATATTTAATGTAATTATGACTATTTAGCTAACAAATATTCAACACTTTAATTCTTAGTTTTAGGTGTTGTGGAGATTGTTAAGTTCTTGATTGAAATCATGAGTTAATCAAAGCTAGACCACCATGAAAAACCTGGAAGCACTGGACGGCCGTTTTGTCCTAGTATGGGACTCCTCAGCAGTGCGCATCCACGATCCTGTGTTTGAATCTCGCGGGGTGCGGGATCGTGGATGAGCACTTCTGAGGAGTCCCATACCAGGACGAAACGGCCGTCCAGTGCTTCCAGGTTTTCCATGGTGGTCTAGCTTCAAGTGACTCATGATTTCAATCAAAACGTTAATTTTTATCTAACACAATCGTAAGAACTAGGAAAAAAGGGTATTAGAATGTTCATAAAATTTCAATATGGAAATTTTCTTTAATCTTATGCAAAATTTATCCTTCAATATTACTTTGTATTTAACCTCTAAAGTCATTTGGCTGATAAACAACAATTTTTGTAAATCAATGTAAATTACCGTTTATATATTTATGTATATGGTTTACGTCTCTATTTGACGAGTTGACCTAATTTTT